CCAAAGCCAGACAGTCCCGCTTCTCCCGTTTGAGTCTGTGTCCCTGAAGACTCGCCCGGATCTGGAGCTCAGAGTCTGCGACTCCCTCCGGATTGAAAACGCCAACCGCGCCCTCCGCCGCTGCCCGCTCCGCGCCCTCCGCACCTCAGAATTTCACTTAACACTGCGCCTCCTCTGAGTGTCCGTATACGTTACTCTTTCCTCCTTGTTGTAGGACTTCCACTCAGCCAGCGTTCCTGTGGGTCTGGGTGATGTCCCTTCCGTCTTTTAGTTTCACTTTTGAAATGGTTGTTCGAGGCGGCAAACTCCGGCGTTAACCTATGCCGCCATCTTGGTACTGCTACTACCAAGTCATTTAAAGAAACAAATATAATTAAATACTCCCATGTTTTAAACCATTTAATGAAGTTTGGTTTAAATGCAGATTCCTTAACATGACACACAAAGTACTTCAGGATTTAAAGGCATCTATCTCTAGAGCCTCCCCTCCTCCCCCAAGTGTTTTTAGAGGCACATTTATTCTGAGGAAAAATTTGCAACATGGAGTGTGGAAAATAGGAGGGAGCACAGGGTTTATCAAGTTCAAATACATTTGAGAAACTAATGCTCTATTATTAGCTCTCAGAGCAGTTGTTCTCAATCTAGGCCCTGAATCAGCAGCAACAGAATTACTTGAGACCTCATTATATATGCATATTCTCAAGCCTCACCTTAGAGCTACTGCATCAGGAATATGCCCATTGAACAAACAGATAGAATGTCACAGAAATATAGCAATCTTAGAAGTGTTGCATAAGTCTTACTATCATGAATTTATCATCTATTATTTCAACACTTTTGTTTTTTGCACATAACAGTTCTTGCTATATGTTGATTTTTTCTTGGAGCATCTTCATATTTTCTTATTTGAAATTATGAAGGTATCGTATACAACTTACCAGCTTGTCTGTACAAGCTTTTTTTGGTACTAAATTATCCTTTTTAAACATGACTATTGAATACTTTATTCAGTTGACCCTAGCAACTTTGCACTTTCAAAAATTCCTCTCTTCATTACACTGTCACAGAATTTCTTTCAAGTTTCTTTCCTCAATAGTCTATTAACAAAATATATTTTAGTTGCTGTAATAATGATGACCAAAATTAAAATTGAAGTACTAATTTATAGTTTTATATTTATTGTGCTTTGTTTGTTGTTATTGAGTTTATAATTATAATACTTGAATATCATGTAAATATATTATAAACTATATTATTATAAGTACTAATTTTTATAAGTTTCAATAAATATTAATGCACTTATTATCTTTTTAAAATGTTTACTATCATTATTTTAATTTTTCCAATCCTAAGTCAAATGCCCTAGTAGAGCTCAAGGAGAATAATAAAGTCTTACTTAGAAAATGTAATCCTTAGAATATCAGGTATATATTCTAATATACCTCATTGTACCCCATTATTTAATTTTTTATTTACTTTTTTAAATACTATTTTTAAACTTATTATCTTTTTAAAATGTTTACTATCATTATTTTAATTTTTCCAATCCTAAGTCAAATGCCCTAGTAGAGCTCAAGGAGAATAATAAAGTCTTACTTAGAAAATGTAATCCTTAGAATATCAGGTATATATTCTAATATACCTCATTGTACCCCATTATTTAATTTTTTATTTACTTTTTTAAATACTATTTTTAAATATGTTTTAATTGATTTGAGAGAGAGAGAGAGAGAGAGAGAGAGAGAGAGAGAGAGAGAACAACATCGATGAGAGAGAA